TTTATGATTGATGATAAATCATGAATGATTATTTGAAATGACACATTTAAATTATTTGGTTGTTTATATCTTATGAGACTTATTATATTTCATTATTTTATCTAATTATAAACAGATTCTCCCTGTTCTTTTGTAAGAATCCCGTGACTACACGTTGTATGTTAGTGTTATAGAATCTATTAATAGTAACAGATTGCTGATAAGACATACAAGTAACTTGTGAATAGTTTGAAAACGGTATGGCGGCTGATTAGATGCAGATGTATAAATAATTACAAAGTTATCTTTCATTAATCAGTTTCATATTTTATATCATTAGAAAGGTCTGTATACTTATAATTTGCACATTAAAGAATTAAATAAGTTTTCAAAACCTTTTCATTTTTTCTTGTGTATTTTTGTAACATTATACGGTGCCTGTATTGTGCTTTATATCAGGGGAAGTAACTCTAGTCAAACATTTTTGTTACTTAATATCCTTATCGACGCCCCTGTATACATGTATATATACACAAATGTATGTCGTTTGGAATTACGGTATGTCTGTTACTATTTTTATACAAAGACAGAAATATGTAAATATTGTTCATTTACCATACTATACATTCATTTTCATATTTTTATAAAATATATTATTTTAATAATTCGATAATTTACGATATATAATAAAATGATGAAACATGTACATCTTCCTTTTCCTTATTATTAGAGCTTTCATTAATTTAGTCCAAGACATATCGACGATATATCGATATAAGATGACAAATATTAACGATACAACGATATTTCGAGTCTCACTTTTATCTATATTTCATTTTCATACCGGTTTTTCACGATTTCAGTAAGATGTTTATTAATCTATTGATACAATTATGAAGTATGTTGTTTATAAATGATCGCCCCCATCCCCACCACTGCATGTTTTTTTTTCTCTGACCTGACCATATTTTGTCACCACTGCTATGAAATATGTCCATAACGTAACACCACAAGCATAATTTAACACATTACCAGAGCCATTAAATAAAATTATGTGACATGTCCAATGCTTCCGTGATGTTTTGGGTGAATTTTCATAATTAATAAATAAAAAAATATCTTAAAAAACATTTATCGATTACCGATCGACAGAAAAAAATAACGATATATCGATATTGTTTTTAACCAGGACAGTTGTATTCGAAATAACATTATGATGACTTTGTTTAGAATTGACGGCGCGATGGAAACTTATATATTGTATCACCAAAAAGCAGAGTTTGTATATTAATGTAGTCAATGTGTATATGAGGATAGTAAATGTTTAGCTTTGGCGTACTCCTGTACTGAAACATGGTCCATTCTTCAAGCATAATTCACATTTAGACTGAATGTATCGCAAGTTAATCCATAGTTATTGATAATATTAATGACCAAAGGTCTTGTTATTTCCCTATAACTGCGATAACGTGCATGTGTAATTGTTTCAGAGGTACACATGCTTTTTTCTGTCACTAAAACAGAAAAAAACGTTATCTAAGAAAACATTACATTTATTTATTATTCCAAAAGCGAAAAACTCCAGTATACGCCCCTTTAATTGCTTTGACCGACATTTACCAGAACCGTTCTTTCTAAAGTTCTTCGGTATGTCTTTTTTGTCATTTAATAGATAACATATTGCACAAAACAGTTTTTACAGATATCTTTTGTTCTGTTTGTTTTTTTCGTTGGGTTATAAGTCACTGCGGCACAGTAAGGTCAAATGACGACTTTCCTGCTTGACTGGTGGACGAAGACCTCAGGTGACCCTTCGTGCATTATTTCTAGCTCGAGCGGGCACCTGAGTTGGACTTCCGACTCCGGCGCCGTCAATTCTAAACTTCCGACATTGAAATGAAAAAATAACAAGAAAGCGCTTACTAGATGAAAATTCCAAACAAATACAAATTCACTTTGCATTAGATATTATGAGTATATCTTAATATAACATTAATTTTCTCTCATATGCAGAGATGCAGCGTTCACATTCATATTTGATTAGTTTAGTATGGTGGCTGATTTCTGTCATTTCGTGTCTGCGCCCCTCAAAAGCAGAAGGCGAAAATCTCGTGTCTTCGCCCATTGAAATATTGTTATTTCAACTACAATATATCGTGTTTTCGTGTCGGCGCACTCAAAAGTCGAAGGCGGAGACACGGTAAGTGAGCATATTGTCGTGCCTTCGTGTCTTCGCCTCCGTCTTTTGAAGACACGAAATGGCAGATATCAGCCACCATAGTTTAGTGCTTTGCAGTTTTTGTTTAGAAACTTTACGCCGTCAATGGCCATTTCCACATTTGACTGCGAGAGTTTACACAGTCCTCTAAAGTAACATTCTGCCTAACATTCTCTGTTAAACATTTTCCTGTAACAGTATGCTTAATGATGCTATTGTTCTCAAAAGTCCATAGAAATTCTGGTCCCGACCAGTCTGTTATGTCTCGAACCAGTTTTAGCTTGGTTGTACCGGGTATAACCAATAGCCACGACCTTTCTACTCGAATGTTATTATCCTCAGTCAATACGAAAAACTGGTTTGAGTCTCCGGTACAAGAATATGTTATAAGAACAAACTTTCCATCAATTGTTGCATGATCCAGACACGCTTTTGTCTGCTCGTTTCTAACAACACCGGTTACCCGTGGTGATTTCGGGACGTAATTATGGGTCATGTTTTGAATTTTGTCAACATAATACTGGTATGGCTTACAATTATTTTCTCGCCTAATTTTGTGTCGATCCTCCAAATCTCCCGGGTCTGGCCAGTGGCTTAAATTGCTCTTGTGTTGCACGCGCAAAGCGAGTTTTTGAAGATAACCCGTCCATCCCAGACATGCGCGAAAACGCATCATGTTTTAGACACAACCGCTGATGTGGGTGGAATGATTGCCAAGGAGCAGCTCTGTAAATATGCCCGATTTTTAGAGCAGGGAAGCATTTCAAACCACCCCGCCACATAACCAGTCTTTACTGACAACTCCAATGTTCAACCCCCCAAATCTCCATGCCGGGATCAAACCCACCGAGTTGCAAAGAAAAAGCTCTTTCTCATTGCCGTCATCATGCCAGGTACAATGCCATATGGAATTGGTGACACACTTCCGTTTCTATATGCCCGGTAATCGTTTGTGTATTTTACCCATAATTCATTCAATGTAATTTGATCGAAAAACATAAAAGCTATATCGTGATCTCCCCTTGATATTTCGAACGTTTCTTTGTTCAGAACCATGATATGTGACGTTAGCAATGCATTTGGCTCTTGAACCAACCTGTAAAGGATTGGCTCTAACCAGCCTGGAGTCACCTCTATATGTCCGTCTAAAACAATAAAGTAGTCACTTCCGGTTTCTTCAATGCCTCTTTGTCTAGCTCTCATCAATCCAAGCGTCTGTTCATTTCTCAGAAGCTTTATTTTGTCAACGTTTGTCGCGTGAATTTCAACAGACGCTTTCAAATATTCATCTTTTGACCCATCATCCACCAAGATTACTTCTTTAATAAGACGATCTGGTGAAGTTTCCAGCACACTGTAAACGGTACGTAATAAACTTGGAACTGACTCCTCGCGAAAAGTGATGACAATGCTGACTTCCGGTAAATCACTAGGATATTGTATATCTTTGCATTTTTCTGGTCTTTGATCAGGAAGTATTCTTTTCAGTCCTACTAAATCGCTATTAAAGTTATTAACCTCGTGTAGCAAAGATTTATTTCTTATATATTCATAATGCTCCCTGTTGGCGGGTAAATATATCTGATCTCCGTCTGCCCCCGGTCCTAAATATGTTGAAAGTTCTGTGACAATTTCCTGCTGCTTTACGGATGGTGACGTATTTTCTACTGTCAATTTTTTCACATTCTGTTCAGGTAAATTTCTCTCGCTCCTCGCTTGATGATTTTGGTAAATTCGACTAATTCCGTATATAAGAAATATCGCACTGATTCTGCAAAAAAGTACACTAAAGTTACAAGAGATCTTTGGTCCCATTGCTTTTATTAATTATGTCTCGACTTCTCGTGAATTTTCTTTGGGATGGGATGGATCAATAGTCTTATATGCACAGCAGATGGTTTACGTTTAATTTAACAGCAATTCTTGTTAAGATAAAATCTGTATTGTTCCGGTGACATATTGTATAACACAAATAATTCTTTGATTTTCTGCAGTATATCTATTTATCTCTTTACCATTTTTTTTTTCAATTTGATATAGTCGGTATGTACTGATTTATGTATAACACACACAACAAAATCATGTTGCTGCACATTTGTAATGTCGAATTTCATTGGAGAATCGTGGTGTTCATATTATCTGATTGCAAATCTTCTTCAATATTAAATAATTATTTTCTTTTTTACTCAAAGAGCAACCATTTTCATGTATATTTTTTTCAACTCTACATTATTATGTTTTCATCAACTTGAAAATTATATTTTCCTTATTCTAAGTGCAAGAAAGCAATTTAACAAAATCAAATTAACGTAATTTGCGATTTTTTCACGTCTTATTTTCTTTTTGTATGCTCTCAAAGGATCTACCTTTCCCGGTTTTTCTAAAATGTAAACTTATTATAAACGTAATTCATACAGTGAGAATATCGGCACATTATTCTAGTAATCATACAATAACGTACGCAAGTCATTGACTGTTATTAAAACGGGATATAACTAGCGATAATGCGACATATTACTTAAGTAAATCCTATTAGTTCAATCATGCACATGCTGTCTTAAACATGCAGGAAAAGAATGATACAGTACAGGCGTGGGTCCAGAAATGTTTTGCTTTCAGATGGGGTCGCAAACTTACGAAAACGGGATATGCATTTTACAGAAGGGCAATCGGAACATCCTCGGCTATTTTTTATAATAATCTCGGACTTAATACGGATTGAAAATAGTTCTACCACGTGGTTTTGGATGTAAACAAACACAAAGCGTGCGATCTTTGATAATGTACAACGAATGTATATTTTTGACATGCATATAGGAAAATAAAGTCTATTTTGCTAAAATTATGATTGCAAATATATCCGAAAGTAACAATCTATTTAAAAATGCCCAATTAAAAAAATAATAAAATTTTAACAAATCCGAATTAATGATAACAGGTAGACGTTTTATACTTTCGGTTTCAGCAACGGGACGAAAACACGAATGGCACAGATGTACTATATGAATTATACTTAATGTAGGTTGATTTTTATGGCGGTGAATATCCGCCAAAAGTATATGTATCTCAAGGACATGTTTATATCTGAATGTTATTAATCAATGCATGTTTATTGCATTCTTATTCATACATATTAGATGTGTCCTTCTTCTATGTATATCTTCTGTGTATATTGAATTACATACAAGAATGCAAAATTTCCATTGTATGTATGCCAATGTGAACGATAGTAATGGAGATTTTTAATTCAGAAATTTTTATCATTGCTTTTGATTAAAGCCTTTTGCAAAATGACAAACTATTGTGTAAAAGAAAAAAAGAAAAAACAAAAAAAATATATGCTTTATAATAGTGTCAAATTATTAGTCGTTTATGTTTTTTTATGACATATGCAAAGTGAAAACTGGTTGCATATGTTGTTAAATCTAATATAATGTTCTGTGTGGTGAATAAATTCCAATGCTTACGGTTGTTTACTAAAATTTTAGGAAATGTTTCTTGTCCTTTTCTGACAATAGAGAGAGAGGTTGACTACATTACAGGTATATCTTGGAAAATTGCAAATATTTTCTATTTATTATAATATATACATTGCATTTTATGTTATATAAAATAAAACATTTTTTTTGTTTGCTGTGTCCATTTGTTTAATTGAAGAAAGATAACTCTATATATAGCCTTATTCACGAATAACAATGGATCTTCAACGTATTAGAAATTTGGTGAAAAGTGATAAAACATATTTGTGATGCTTCTCGTAATTAAAGGAAAAAACACAACGTTATATTCCTTAGATTGTGCCTTATGTAATGAGCGGTATATTAAATTAAACTTATGATTGAAATACATGTATATTATCAAAGTTAACATAAAATGCAGAAATCACAATACCTATCAAGGATAAAAAAATTAATGTCTATACGGAAAAATCAAAGTTTTTGTAATACTTAATTTAGCTTAAGGTTATGTTCATGTATTTAATTATTATTATTTTTAGAAAAGATTGTAAGATATACTTAACTTAATTAGTAAGAAAAACCTTTTGACATATATAACAGGTAGCTATTTCTCGGGGATTCTGTATGTTAAATACGATCATGGCTTTTTATATTTTATTCTATATAAGTCTATATATAAGATGATAGCAGGCGAATCGGTAAAATTTCTCGTGCCATCAGAAAAGCAAAAACATACACACTTAACGAACGTAAAAATCACATCTGCACTAAGAACATGTATATGAAAATGTAATGTCTTCAAATTAATGTAAATGTAAGTAAAGTTTCTAGCTATTTGAATATTACTTCTTTAATTTTATGTTTTATTGAGTCCGTTCTTATTTTGTGTGTTTTTTCGTTTTAATTGTTTGTTTTTCTTGTCAATGTGTCTTTGTTCCGTTTAAGGTTTACTATATGTTCTGTTCAGCCGGACGCTGTTTCTTAATTGTCTGTATTTGTTGTTCTTAATGGTGAAATGTTGCGTATCGTTAGTTAGTTCTTCTATTATATCGGTCCTCGTTTTCTGTTTTTTCTTGTCTGTTATGTCTGTGTGTTGGTCTGTTATGCCTGCAACGTTGATTTCTTCTTTTATTGTTCACTGTTTTTTCTGATTGTCTTGTTATCTACGGTTTACTGTCCTGCCGTCTATTGCATTCAGTCTCTTATTGTCTTTTCCATTTTGTGTATAATGTTTTGTGATTTACGTTCCCCGTAGTAGTGAGTGCTTTTCAGTGTGTGCTTTTCATTGGACTGTGTTGTGTTGTATTTTCCGTTGTACCCGTTTCAGGTTTCCTATTATCGGTCTTATTCTGTTAAGTCTTCTCTTGTCTGTAACGGTCTCCTTGTGCCTTATTCCATTTATTGTCTTTTGTTTGGTACGTTTCGTGTCTTGTCTTTTGTAGAATTAAGTCATTGTTTTTTTTTGTATTTTCAATTCGTTTAGTAGTCTTTAGAGATCTCTGTTTTGGTTTTGTAAGCCTTGAAGTCTTGATAGTGTCTTTCCCATTTGTTTACTAGTCTAGTGCTTCCTTGTCTGTTTACTTTAACTATGATTTGGAAAGTTCTTCTAACTAACAGGTCCTTTCTGTGTCTTGCTGTCAGAGGAACTTGTTCTTTTTTGTATGGTCCGTATGGCTGTTCCTTCTTTTTGATCCATCTTAGTCATTAGTAGCTGGGTATTGAACTCAATTTCTCCATTTTAGGGTCTGGTTATGTTTTCTTTTGATTTTCCTTGTCTGCTTAGATGTGTTATGTACAGCGTATTTAGTTGCTGCGTTTTAGTCTCTTGCTGTCTGTACTTGTTAACATTTTCCGTTTTTATGTATTCCGTTAGTTCTTGTGTTATTGTTGTTCTTGTAGTCCTCGTTGTTTCGCTAGCTGTTCCCATTTACTGTTGTCTATTGTATGTATCGATGTTCTTGTGTTTTGTTCATCTGTTTGGTCTGTTCTGTTATGTTCTCAGCCGGATGACGTCTCTTTTGAATGTCTTTTGCTGTTGGTTCTGTTCTGTCTCTTTTCCGTTAGGTCAGTCTGGTAAGTTTAGTCTGTATCTGTATGTCATTAACCGTTTAGTCTCTGTCGTTTAGTCTCTGTGCAATTTTAGTGGAGTAGCGGGGGATCGAACTCACGACCCCTTGGTTGGTAGGCAGACAGTGTTACCACTGCACCATAGCGTCCGCTCTGAATAATAAATGTTTTTGGAAGTCCTATATACATTATAACTTCAATAGCTAACTGAAAATGTATTGCAATTAAATTTTAACACCTCTATACAGGTAACCCGCCCACGTGACATTTTATATATCCTCAAACGATTTCAGCAATATTTTTATAAGTAACTCTGCTGTAACTTTTAGGCCTGTAATCAGAATCGAAAATTGCACTAGCCCTCATTGAAAACATCCCATATACATGTTGTTGCCTAACGGTCAAGACAGTCCTCAAGTTTTCAGTAAAGCGGTATTCACATTATAAAGTCAGTTTCAATTAAACTAAGGTAAGTTGAGAATTTTTGAGAGGAGGCACCTTGAAATGTTCTTGATAAAATTATACTGAATACCACTTTGATTTGAGTATCGATTTTGAATCATTTTGATCCCATATACATTTAAATAGATATTATACGGGAACTGAAAGAATTTAAACTGAATTTTTTAAACAGGTTAAGGAGTTCAATAAATTCATAAATGAACCTACACGAATATAATATTCTATTTATCACACACCCAAAACAAAGGACTGTTTAAAGTGCATAAGAATAATTTTTTCATTCACGCACCTATAGCGTGGCGCTATTTTAGCGCGTTTTAACATTATGTTTGTATAACGCAAATGACTTATACTTAGGGATAGGAATAATTCCTTTTAATCAACTTTAGCAGTTGATTTTTGAAGAGGATGGAGTGTGCACAATTTATATATTGGCAGCTGATGCCGTTTTACGAATATTGTTCTTTTAGTAATACACATACTTTTTTATTTGATTTATTTAAAAAGCAACTATCTGAAAATAAATTGCCAAATAGTATTATAATTACTTTGACAGTAATACAAAAAGGAGAGAGTTTTATTTGCCAATCACACGTGTTTAACATGGATAAATGTGTTTAATGTACACAATCTGAAAGAAATGATATTTGCAATTACAAACGATAAAGGTTTAAATGAAACAGTCTTGTTAAAAAGATCTATTGTGAGATGACAACATAATTGTCTACATTGACATTAAAATTAGATGCTATTTTCAAAATAAAGTTCACGTTTTTGAAATGTAACATTTTTAAGCTTCCCTTTCCTCACCCAGTCTTTCAGGTTTTCACTTTCAGGTTTTCACAACATTTTCTCAGTTGTTTTGCTGTCCTTGAAAACTATTAAGCTTTTGTTTTATCGGACGTAGATCA